AGAGATGTATTTTTCATCAATTCTTTCCTTTCTTTATTCTTTATTATGTCGGAAGATGTCGATCTGTCTGTTTCTGCGTTTTCGAACAGGGGAAATGTGCACCGATGGCGAAGCGATAGCGAGGAGCTGCCGTTTGGTGGCAAGGAAACAAGCGGCGCGAGAAAAGCTTTTATTGTTTCAGTACGTGCTGCGCCGCGTGTCCTAAATACACTCGCGTCGTCGCAAACTGCGATAAAGCGCATGCGTATATAAAGAGTCCCGAGTATGACATGTTTCTTCAAGCGCACAAATTAGAGCCTGAATCAAACGGATCGACTGTGTGCGAGAGCTGTGTGAGCGACAGCAAAAGAATTACAATAGACGACGACTTCTCGTCAAACTTTTAGCCGAAAGAGAGCTGTGTCAAAGATTAGAAAGAGATTTACGGTCCAGATGACCACAGCAGGCATTTCTGGAACACCTTGTATGCGTGACACAGACGGTGCAGCCACAAGCTGCTGCTTTATCATCGTTTCTCGCTTTGTTCAACTGAGTTTCTCCTTATCAAGCTCGCACGAGCACACGTAAATCAGTAGAGGCGCGTCCTTGCGAGAAATAATTCGCGAATTGCGACTGCGGCTGTCGTAAATTTTCCCGTCAGCTGAGGACGCCCAAGTGCACGCACGAGTTCCGGACGAATTCGTCATTAGAGTGACAAAAGAGCGAACAAGTGGCGAGACCACATCGAGAGAGGAAATCTCGCGGTTACTCCCCTGACAATCCAAAATTGCGAGACAAGGAAATCTCAAAGACTCAGAGACTCAGAGGCTCGTCACTTCTGCGACATCAGTGAGTGAGACAATCATTGCAAAGAATAAAGCTTTAATAAAACCATAATTATAATTAGAACGTTACTTTTTACGGTGATTTCGTCGCGTATTATTTTTATATTTATAATCGTTCCCAATTATATAAATATGTAAATATGAATATCTTTCAACAATTTTTATGATCATCGACCATTAACAATAACGATGTCGTTGATACTTCAACAACTGATTGGAAGCCCGCCGATTAAACAAGTCGCGTCAAGACGCAAGCAGCTGTCTCTGCTGAGCTGAGTCATGTTCTTGCGACATTGTAAAGTTCGCGAAAGGTTCAGAATTTCTTCGTCTCGCCGAGTATAAGTTATAGCCGAGTATAAGCCCAGAAATTAATTTTTCCACGGTTAATGACTTGATTGACTCGCGAGTCAGTCGACCGTCTGTCGGCTCTTGACAAATCGCTACTTTATGCTCAGCGATTTACACGATAAGATCTAGATAATCTCCCGACAAGCGTGATCATCACATGAGCAGAACAAATTACATTCGCCGAAACCGCAAGATGATTAATTTGGACAATGGTAAACCGCGGGGGGGGGGGGTGCGCGGAGACAATGAGAATCTGCCGTTGCGCGGACCGAACCATAACACCGTAATTACCAACCGTGAATCAGTCCGACGCGATAGCATCCATTGGCCGGGTCTAATTGCGAGCGGAATAGCGCTCTATCGTTGATTCCTTCCGCGAATCGAGCAGGAGAGGTCTCCGTCGACGGATTTATCGGCTGTCGCATATAACATGAAGCCTTGGTGTCGCGCGAACGCGTCTTTCAGCGTAGCCGTCCGCAAAAACAATCGATTAAGCGAATCGGTCGAGTGTCCGAACAGGAAACGAGACCTATTCGCTGGAAAGAGGAGAGTTCCTCTCCTCCGTTACAGTCCCTCGTGACTTGGTTATTAAAGATGTTACGTTTCACATCAGCGATATTTTGTGCTAACGAGATGCTCGATCGCGCGCTTCGACGTCGTCTGCGGCTTACACGCCGCGGGCGAGCGCGCGCATTTTGCAAGACTTTGCGACATTAAATAGCAATCTAAACGCATCGGCCCGATAACAATTTGACGGCTAACGTGTCATTAAGAGTTGCTTACATCCGGATGAACGCGTACGTCCTTGGCCATCTCTCCACGGCAGGATGAGCAACGCGGGAAAAGGATCTCACCGGCGACGGAGACGGATCGGCGATTCCGGCGCTTCCGTAAATAATATCGGGGTACATTCGGTGTTACTCAGCGTTATATACTTTTATAACAAGCTCGAGTGTGTGTATGTGACCGGACGATGTCATTAGGATTCTGTATCGCGTGATTTTGTTGCCAAACTATGGCAAATAAACTACGTAATTGGTTATAAATACGGACGTGGCTGCAGACTTAATCAGCGGCAGAAACTCGTTCAATCACGCGCGTCGCAATCCTTTCCCTTTATCAATATGCATTTGTTTCGTGAGAAGCGAGCATATCGCTAGTTGCAATATCCATCAAGATTGACTCGCAATTGCCTTATCAATTCTTTTTATGCTAACCGACGTATCCGGATTATTTGCCGCTCCTTCGATAAGCAGAGACGTGGAAAAACTCGCGTTAAACGTTAGGTCTCGCGAGATAATTATCTCGCACGGCACAATGTAAAAAGAAAAATACAGAGATTTTTTCCAGCATAAACTAGTCTCCGGCACTGGACTGTTGTGCGGCTTGCTGAAGGATACGCGCGCTCGGCGTTGACGCAACGCGATCCTCCAGAAACTTACCGACTTTTAATAAGTACGGTTCACGCTACGTGTGCAGTAGCGGCGTTACGCAATCGCCGCATCCTGTCGGATGTACGCTATTTCGCAATCATAAGCAGAGCAATGGTTACAGGTGGATCCCGAAATAGAGAGGAGGAGAGAGAGAGAGAGAGAGAGAGAGAGAGAGAGAGAGAGAGAGCGCGCACGGGCTGATGTTTCGCTGATCACGTCTATCAAACTGTGTTTCGTAATATCACGGAGAACCGCGGGTATCTTGTGGCTCTCAATATTTGCGTATCGCGCCGATGAGACACTCATAACCGGAAGCGAAACACTCGCGAACGGAAATCGTCGGCGACGCCGTCGTGAAAACAACTTTAATTTAATCGTTCGTCATCTTCGAAAGATAACATTCGATGACGAGCAACTTTGCGAAATGAACGATCCGCGATAACGCATGCCGGCAGCAACGTACAATCGCGACTAATGCGACTATAATCTAATCACTTGGCCGCGGAAAGGCCGTGAGTCAATATTCCTGTGTAACGATCAGAAGGATCAACCGGTCTCTTTTGTTCTCAGACATAATACCGTGTTAATTTTGAAAATGTATTTGGCTACAGCAATGTCTAAATTGTGCTTTCAGCAATAATTTTCGAGAATTCGAGATGACAAACGAGAGAGCCTTCACTCGCTTCAGAAGAGAGACTCTTGCTTCTTTATCTCAGATACGTGTGTATTCTCCTTTTCTCTCTAAGATAACTAATCTCCGCTTACGACGAGATATTTTCGCTATTTTCGCGGAAAACGATCCTTCTTGGTTTGTCTCCCAGCGAAGAATACATTCGCGACGACGAAGGGTCGACGACACAGCGCCAACAAACAACAAACAACAAGTCGCATGCTTATCAAATTAAAAGCGAGGGATCCTCGCTCTATTTCGAGAGCAGACGAGACGATCAAAAACACGACGCGACCGCCCGACATTGCCATATATCCGTAACTCGTGACTGCGAGAGCTGCGATGACAGTTTGAGCTACGCAATTCATAGTGCGAAATCGCGGATAAAATATATCATTGTCAGCGATGGTGCGCGGCGATAAGGCAGCCTGGTACGAACGAGAGAGGCAGCTTCCTTTGTTACATCGTGCGCGTGTCGCCTTTCATGCGGTACATAATAGCAGCTACGCTCTAGCTTTGCAATTAGGCTTTATTGTTAGCCCGACGCGCAATTACCAGTTTCTTTATGGCGGGCCGAGTTTCACATCCTACTCGCGTAGATCGATGTCGTGGTAGACACCGAGCGAACAAAGTGTTTGTCTCAACTTCGTGGGAGTACCGAGAAAACATTTACTAATTTGCCTGCTGCTTCGCTACTAATTTGCCTGTTTGCTCGCATGCAAATTGGAGATCTGGTCTGATCGGCTTCAATCGCGGGAGCTCGCGAGCACGTGAGATAAACGTGAAATATAAACCTTAACAAATCGAATCGAAGGAGCATATCTCACGATGGATTCGCTAAAATTCCTCAGCGGTTTTAGCGGGAATTTCCATTTCTCGTAATTTGTTACTTCTCGAATTGACGAATATTTTAATGATGAGATTCCGATTAGTTTTGCAGTATAAACTCACGGTAAATTAGAACTTTATGATATATTTTCATCTTTTTTTCACCTCGCTATGCGCTGAAGGCGTCAAGATGAAAAAATTTTGATTTATAAATCCTTCGCATAGCTCAGACTTAATTAAAATTCTCTTCAAGAAACCGTCTCTCGAGAATCTCTCGAGATTCAAGAGAGACTTCCTCAATTCTATCTCTTCGTTCGTGCCATGTATATTTATGAATTTTAATAGCTGTCATTAACTTGGAGAATGTTTGAGAAAAGGCTGGCGCCTAATTTGCGCGATCTTATTCCCCCATTAGCAAGCAGACGGCAAGCAACAGTTCCTATGAGCGATCTCTACCGAATGTTCGTCGCTATAATAAATAGCGGGAACTACTTGTGCAATACGGAACATCAGTGCTCCAATATCGTCGCGAGGAGTTACGATATTGGCGAGCAAATCAATTCGGAGGTCTGCATGAATATGTAAATCATCGATTAACATACGACGCGTTATCTCAATTTACTGGCGTCATGCCGTAAAAAAAAAAGTAGGCAACCAGGTTCGCCAGCCTCCTGCTGTTCTTCGATGTCCTTGCCCGGCTGATGCGCGATTCCGTGACGGAATTTCCGTCGCGGGATATTACGACGACGACGACGACGACGACGACGATATTAAGTCGGGCGATACAGCCGTGCGATAAAAATGAAAAAAAGAATGGGAGAATAAGAAAGAAGTCGAATGCTTCTCATACGATGAACATTTTGGGCGACGACTTTCGTCCCCGTATCTGCGACTCACCTGGAGAGCGGATCGACGAACAGCGCGACGATGATCACCGCGACGATGATGCAGGTGAGGTAGATCGCAGAGATCTCGTAGATCTCCGACTCCGGCGGCCGTTCCAGGTTCTCGTGACCTCCGTTGCCGAGGATGCAGAAATCGGCGCCACACAGCTTGATCTTGTCCCAGCTGTCCGTGCTGTTGCTGCTGCTGCCGCCGCCGCCGCCGCCGTGGCCGCCGTCGCTCAGCACTGCACAATTTGAAAGTGATCTCTCAGCCGTGCACGGATATTTGCGCTTTCACTACCGAACTTTTTCAAATTTACACCCGCGACGAACGCGACGGCCACTCACGGTTTCTTTACTTCATTCGCGAGGGTCCGCTAAATTCTGTTTCTGTCCATTAATGGACGGAATGGCTTTTAGCTTCTGCTTGGCGAAAGATCCGAGAGTGGAGCGTCAGCTTTGTTTTGCAGCTTATGATTTGCAAAATATCTAGTTTAAGAATATCTAGTTTAGAATAATTTTACGGCTCCTCTATATGATAAACCTCGCAAAAAAGCTTAAATTATCCCTAAGTTATGACTCGATGGCAAAACAACATTATTCTCCTTCGATATTTATCAGCGCCACTTAATAACATTTTTCCAGAAGAAACCAGTTTTAAAAAATCACGACGTTTTCAACACAAAATACACATAACTCAGCAATTACGACGATGTTTGTTCTCAAAGTGCTAATCAACTGAGAAGATTGAATAAAATATGTACAATGTTTTCATCTCGATTCAATTACAGCGTCGCATATATTACGAGTCCGACATCAACAACGTTATGACTATTGTTTGTTTCATCAAGATGAAAATACAAATTTCAGCGTCAAATTCTGTCGAAAGATCAAACTGCGCAATCAAATCATCGTGTACTTGAAAGATACGCCAACATTTATAATGACAACTCAAGAAACGAGCAACGATTTTTCGTCACGCCGATTACATCAGTTCGCTATGCGCGAGTAAATTACAAACGAAGAGTTGCGTGGTGAAGGGAAGTGTACGCGAGCGGGAAGTCGAGAGTTTGACCTATTACGCCGTACCGGAAACATATTAGCTCCTCTCGAGAGTCAGGACACGAGGAAGAGAACGCGCGAGGCGAGCGCGTGCGAGCTCGAGCTCTTCGTAAATCAGTATTTCACGAGCGAGTTTCACCGCTGACGAGGCTCTTCCCTAATCGCCTCGCGTATTCGCGTCTCGAATTCCATAATTCGAGTATATACACAGCGGGTATTACTCTCACGAAATGAAGGAGGGATATTACTCACGGAGAATACAATGTACTAGAAAGTATCCTTATGAGACAACTACTAATTCAATCGTGAAAGTTCCCGACAAATCGATCGCTTGAACTTTACGAGCGTAAAAGTTGTAATATCTCGTTATTTGAAATACACACATTTCTTTCGGTCCACACAGAGCGACCATTGAGCCATTGTGCGATTGTCCTTCGGATGAAGTGTCACGCGCACTCGCTCGCTCTTCTACGATCGAAAAATCGATTATGCGCGTCGACTTGTTCCATGAAGGCAATATCGAACATCGAGGTTCCATTTCAACGCAGACGCCTCGTGTAATTATGTACCTTCATGCAACGCACATGAAGTCGGAATCCTTTGCAGGATGTAAATAACGACCGGTTTTTTATCCGCTTAGAGACACGCGATAAATATTGGTCTCTGCGTGGATGCGTGTGTTATTATAATGTCGATAAAATGATGAAAATCGCCCCGTTCGCTCACATTATGTACTATTAAATTCTTCAGTTGTTAGATTATTAAACACATTAATCTCCTAGTAATCGCGATAAATGGGATTCCGCTGGATCACCTATAGAAGCTGATTAAAACGAAGCTGATGTAAACCGAACGTTTCGTTATTTCATGATCGCGCACGTATTACGCGCATTAACGTGGCAGGAACAACCGCCCCTTACAGTGAATTATTTCGCCCCTGACTGAGTGAATCGCATCGATGGAAAAATTGACGACACGTTGACAGACGGAAATCATCGAACCGGTCGGCGGCAAGGTGCAGCGCGAAGACGCTCGCGCAAATAATCGCAAGAAAGAAATTTCCCCGCAGCTGTGCAAACGCGGCCCACGCAGCTGCATGTTCGTCCGAGCCAATGAGGAAGCGCACGACGCGCGTTCGAATGTGCTCGTTTGCGCGGAATCTTCTCGAAGGATCTCGTTGGTATTCGACGTGCCGAGCTAAATCGGCTATGTCGACTAGAAGTCGACCGGCGCTACGCGCCCCGAAATGCAACGATCTTGGCTGGAATTCGCGTCGTTATTACGGCATACGTAACAAACACGAGAGAGAGAGAGAAAGAGAGAGAGAGAGAGAGAGAGAGAGAGAGAGAGAGAGAGAGAGAGAGAAAGAGAGAGAGAGAGAGAGAGAGAGAGAGAGAGAGAGGATCAACGAAAGAAAAAAAGCTTCTCGAGTTTGTCGAGAATGTGATGCGTCTGCGAGTCGCCACGAAAAATCGATCGCGCGTTTCACGTCGGTCAAATCGTCGAGCGAAACTACTGACACGCGCGATTCGCGCTTCCTTTGGCGCGTCGCGCGAGTGCCTCGTTCAAAATTTCGCGCGGTTGTTTCCTCTTTCTTCAAATAACTCCGACGTGAATTGATCGCCGATGCCATGCGAAACTTGTCGGCTGGAATTCTGGAATTTACGTTGACTGATCCGTCAAGCGTACGCCGTCAAGCCGGTCAGAACTTTCACCGTACTGGCGCTAATAATATTATGCCGAGCGTTTACGACCTTTTCTACTTATCGTCTTCGATTGTCGGAAAAGTACGCTTTTCGACGACGTTCGTCTACCGTCGTGCGAGCACGCAGGACAATCATTCGCGCGGAAATCGTTCGAATCGAGTCACGCGATCGAAAAGCGGAGTAACGTGTTACTAGAAAGAAACGTGCGGAGCATATCGCGGATCGGATGTCTCGGCGAAGTTACGAGAGAGAGAGAGGACGAGAATGACGATCTAAAAATAATGTCGGTATAAAAGTAATCGTATGATACAAAGAGTGTTCGTGTATGCGTAACTGCGCGAGCACGTGTTAACGGAGAATGGAAAGAGAAGTACATATAAATGTGTCAGCGTCTATATAAAAACGCCGTTTCGCACGTGTATGCGTGATTGGCGAGATTAATTTTAATGACGGATCTTTGTGCAGTCTCTTGCAATCTCCTTCCGTTTCCTACTAATAAACTCGAGGTGGACGGTTAAGACAATAGAATAGATTTGACGCGGTGTTTTAAGGAGCGATTCAGATACGTCGAGATCGCGTAAACGCGAGCAAACTTTTTCGGAATGAAAAATGAATTTTTTTCAGCGCGTTTAATCATATCAAGATATATGTTTAAAGCAAATTACAGAAAACAAATTACAAGATATCACACAAGCGATGACCTTGCGCGAAATTTCCTGCGGTCGGAAAAGATCAATCCCGGGCCCATCGAAGAGAGTCGTTAAAGCGGGTCGTTAAAATTAAGATCGCGAGTTCAGGGACGCGGTGTATAATTTGTAAGATATCGTAATTTCTCATGCGATCGAAATCATTAAAATGTTAATTCACGTATAGAATAATCGCGGCCGGGAAATAAGCCGGATCTCTCGCACGATTTACCTCGTTATATAAATACGCGATCGGTGCGCGCTGTATATTTAATTCTGCCATAATCGATGTCATAACGCGGAAAAAAATCGTGCCTATACGAGTACGAGCGTTACCGAATCATCCCGCGCTGGTCTCGACGAGGGATTTCCAGGAAATGCTCAATTCTACCTGACCGCGGTTCGTAACCTTCGCGCCACCGCCGGCCATTCATCGTTATAATATTGCGTACACGTCCTCGACCTCGACAAGGACTCAAAACAATCTTGACCTTTGTCATGTATTTGCGAATATTATCTGGCGCCAATGACGTCGATTTTTCTCCACTCGCGCGTAATGTTTTAAGAAAAGAGTCGATCTCCCAGTCCCAGTGCATACATCATGTTATTCGTATTCATCTTGTAATATCTCCATATGTATGGAAAAGTTCGTTCATGTGCAAAAAATTGCGTTTGATAAACATCAGTGTTGTTTGATATCGTGTGCAGCTTTTTCACAATATGATCATGCTTGATTTATTGTTCATCTAGACTCTTAATGCATGTGTGTCGAGTGATATACGTCCAACTTTTCGTACAGAACACGTCGAAATTAAAAGATTTCACAAATTCGCGACGTGTAATGAAAAACCCCGAGAAAACGCGTGCGACCTCGTGCGAAATCAATTTTTCACCGCCACATTAAAGTTATGTGGCGTGCAAAAATGCAATTTTGGATCGCTTGATCGTTGTAAGATTCGAATCGCTAGAGACCGTTTTCCCCGTCGCCGGGATTGCGATTTGTCCGAAATGGCGTGAGGTCGCGTACGTTCGAGGCACGGGCGCGTGTTCGACGGGCGAAGAAATCGAAGAAACGTTTCTTCGCACACGTAACAAGACCCGGCACACAATGATACCTTGTGAAACGCGCGCGCGTGTGGAGGCGCACGCGGTATCGGGGAATGCGTACGAGGTAGTACGGAAACCGACCACCGCGGGTTTATACCGGATAAATCTCGTTTCTTCCCGTGAGTGCGAGACGCTGTTCCTCCCGTCCCTCTCTCTTTCACGGCCTCTCTCTCGCTCGACGAGAGTCCCTCACCGGCTACGTTGTCCCTCGCACACAGTGCGCGCGAAGTGTGTGAAGGTGCGAGGATACGCGCAGTGGAAAGATCGAGCGTTCGGTCAGACCGTCGTCGTCCGACCGTAACGTCTGTTTCTACTAGTCGCGCGTATTGCTGCGGTGCGTATCCGGCGCACGGCGCGAAACTTGCTCGATCTCTTGAGAAAATCAAGATATAATTTGCCTATGTGCATCGCATCGTTTTGCAAAAAATATTTTGTACTTTTATTTTCCTTGTAAAGCATTTTTACAGTTCGCGAATTTTAGTTTACTATCACTGTTACTATTAAATTTAACCTGAAGAGAGAGAGAGAGAGAGAGAAAGAAAGAGAGAAGCTTCGGAAAAATTTGTATCTCTACGCAATTTCAAAGTCGTGCAAAATATGCAAAATTATTTTTTTCTATAATATAAGAGACGTGTATTTAGTTTAATCGTTTTAAAACAGGCGGTAGAGTTTAATGCTAAATAAAATACGAAAAGGCTTGTAATACTCTATTTTATAATTACACCTATGATCCATACTTGGCCGCGTGAGCCATTCACGGGATATGTGAGGTAATCTAAGCTGATAAGCCAAATGATATGTACAATTGTGCACACATTCCACGGAGATGTTTGCGCGGTAATTAACGAATATATTGTGACCAGCGGTGCCGGTTGAGCGTGAAAAACAGACGGCGATAGTAGCGAGATGCATGTTATTGAGATGTTTAGAACGTCTCTATTACGTATTTGCGAACGACAACAAGGAGAGCTGCTTTTGCGAAAGCGTGTACACACACACACATTGATCCAACATGACGTGTCAAAGCACGTGAGAACTATTCTTAATCGTTGCCGGCTTGGACGAGAGAAAAAAAATTGCCTGATAACAATTATTATTTACGCACGCGTAAATACACGACGCTGAAAGAGACTCGACAGATCAATCGAAGAGCCTCGCTTGCTCTTTATCGCTCAATTATAAATACCGTTCGTTATCAGCCGCGTTACCGAGGCTCCGCAATCGTTGCTCCATTTTCAAGGTATTGAGACAAGCGCATTTGGTGGGGCTGCTTACTTACCGAGCGAGGAGATGAGGTTGCCCCAGAGCTCGGCCGTCTGCCACGCCAAGAAGAAGAATCCGAAGAACCGTACGACGATGGCGTCGACCGGCTGGTCGGTGATCTTGGCGTAGACGCCGCCGACTTGCGTGAGATACGTGGCCTTGGCGGCCCACATGGGCGCGGCGCCGAGACCCAAAAGAACGCCGGCCGGCACGAGGGTGTAAAACTTGGGATAAAATTGGGAGCCGATGTACGGCGCGTAGCACAGCATGGACACGCAGAGGGTCCACTTGACGGTGAGCCTCTTAATGAGGAAGGTCGGCACGAAGATGCAGGAGAGCACCAGGGCGGCATAGATCGCTGAGAGCGAGACCGTGCCGAGGCCGTCGCTGGCGTTGATCGACGATTGGAGGTTCGCCGTGCCCTGGAACGCGGTGAACTGCACCATGAAGGCGATCGACACGGTGCCGATGTTCTTCAGGATACGCCACTTTTCGCCGCGCGACAGCTTGAACTTCCGCGACTGCGTGTCGTCGTCCGCGGCCGGCAGCTGCGGCGGCTTTTGCGGCTCCGGCGGTATGCCGTCGGTGCCGTCGTCCTTGTAACCCTCATTTCTGTAACCGACCCCGCTCACGGTCACCGTGTAAACCGTGTCGTCGCCGCCGCCGCCGCCGCCGCCATCGCCGCCACCGCCTCCCATGCTTCTGCCACCGTCGTTTTGTGAAGCAACCATCTTACGTGCCGGCTACCTGGACATACAAGCAAAGAAACGTTTTGTCATTCGGGTGCCTTTGAGTCGCGAGTGACTGTCGATCGTCCTCTTCTAATGATTATATACGTATTACGTAAAACATATGATCAATTATGAATATATTTAACGCTGCAGATTGAAGAACCTGTAGAAAAGTCCATTAAGCAATGTGTGCAACGTACAACGATCGGCGCTGACGTTATGAAACGGTCCATACAGCAGCAACGATTTCTTGCTGGCGGAGAATGCTGGCAGCCAAAGAACAAGTCGCAATGTTTCGTTGATTGATGGCGGATTAATCGGCGACATTTGCATTTGGTAATCGCGACAGCGCTCGTATTGCGCGAAATTTTATTATTAACGCACGATCGAAAATACGCGTACGCAGTTCTGTTCATCAAATAAAATATTTTCTCCTCTTCTTCTCCTTTTTCCTTGATGCAGATAAAAATCAGTACGAGTACCATCTTACGCTTGTGAAATATCAATGCTCGACAAAAACATTATCGCGTGAGTGGCTGTAATTAACGAGTAGCGTCCATGTTAAAAGAGAGTTTCGTCACTGTTCTCGACGCGAATTAGACACATTAGATTGCGTCAAGTCCGTTCGCGTGTAAACGCACGCATACACCAATTGTGTGACTCCTCGCACATACGTTATTCCCTTCACGGGGATATCACGAACGCGTACATCGTTTCCTGTGCTGTTTCTTTATCAGATTGTCACTTCTCGCTTCTACGCGTCCCGGGCGTGTCTGAGATTTATCGCATCTACTCCCTAAGCGCTATTATTAAGCCCCGCCATTTTTCTATCGTAATTAAAATGTGTACTTTTCACGAAAACGTTACGTCGCAAGTAAAATCATACGATCCTAGCGACAACCGCGCGTCTCTTTCCGTCTCTCTGAAAAAAACACACGAGTTTCGCAAATAAAGATTTGATTTATCTATCAACGGAATCAGTCAGAAGAAGCTTAACATCAATCACTTTTAATGCATTTGCAAAGTTCAAAAATTTTCGTCTCTTTTTCTTGCTGCATGATTTCCTGCAACCCTAGAGCGTCAATAAACACATTTGTCTACCCATCTCCATCTGTCTTTTAAAGGCAGAAAACTTGCTACGTAATTACCACTTAAGCGAGACGCTTGCATTTCGACAACGTGCCGCAATCGACTTATCCTCCTTTCAATATCTTCTTTCCACAAATCCAATATTTTATTGTCAGCGTACAACGTGCGTATACAGGCATGTATACAGATTACTTCAAATATCATCGCGATACTCTACGATGCGCTGTGTTGGATCCTATTTTTCCGTATTTACGACTTTCTCGGAGCGACCGCTGCGCAAACAAGAATCGCGTCCGGCGTCTGCGAGCGCAGCGAATACGGTGTGACAAACGGCAACCTTTCGAGAGAACGGCAAGGCTGCGTAATCCTCGGAGCGGCTATGCGGCGCGAGTGGATACGAAAATATTAATCAGACGCCAGGCGCGTATGCTAATTGCGAGGGGATTGCCGCGCGGAGTCTGGCGCGAGTGACGAACGATCTTTCGCTAAGAACAAGAAAGAGCGAGTAATTACACGTGTCTTGCGCCGTCCTTCGGCGCAGAGGGAGGGGGGAGGGAGCATAGGGGGAACAGCAAGGAACGTTTCGGGAACGAGAGGGAGAAAAGAGGGGCACTGGGGACCGAAGAAAGAAATGGGCCCGACCGTTCGTATCGTCGCGAAATCTAAGCGGGCGAAAATTATAGCGGCATGAACGCGGCTACACGAGATAAATCGGCGTCCCCGCTGGGCTGCTGGGCGAGCGAAATCAAATAGAGAAATCTACGCGCTTATATTAATCGCGCGAGTCGCGCGCGCGCAGCTTGCTCCGCTCTTGATCTACGGCCGTGTTTTGAACTCTGCGAATCTCGGCAGGTGACACGATTCGAGCGATAGAAAGTACAAATAAAACAAGAGACAAGCAAGGCGGATACGTGCGGGCACAAGCGCGTTGCCGTGCGAGAGCCACGTCCGATCGCGAGGATTCCCTTCTCCTCGTCGTTCCTTCGCATTTTGTGATTCTTGCGATTCGATAGTTATCGGGGAAAATGTATTTCTGCAGAAAATCGTGCGAGACTCCATCCAATTATCTCGACTTCGACTGCATTTTTGTCTTTCGACATCCGCGAGATTCGCGACTGTCAAGAAATTTGCTGAAATTTGCAGACCGCGCGACGAAATTTTCATTCGTTCGCGCGCGTGAAGAAGAGAGGTAGGCATTGCGCCCGCACGTTGGAAAAGCAGCGCATTATCGTGCCGATAGCAGTCGGCATTACGCTCGCTCGTACGTGCTCGACGGATCTTTATTGAGAGCGCGATTCTCTGAACAATCGCCGTATCTGCTACGCGATAAAAAACAATTGCTACTATTGCGTCCTCGATAATCTCGCGCCGGCGGCTTCTCCACGGCTGAGAAGCGTGCCGGGTCTCTAAAGGCCGCGTGTCGGCGGCCAATCAATTTGCTCGGACGGAAAAGTCGCGCATGTTGTGCAAATAATTGAAATGTCCGCGCGATCGATCGGTCGATCTCGCGGACGTTTCAATTGTTTGCGATGCGGCAAAGAAAGCAAGCAAGAAAGAAATACCTCGCAGTCGGTGCGCGCACCGCTACGTCCGTGAGCGAGAAGAAAAGATCGATGGAGTAATCGAAGCAAAGCGGTCGCGCCGCGCTTTTCCCCAGCCGACGTGTCGACGCGCCGCTCCGCCGAGGATAATTTTGTGAAAATTGCAACGCGCACCACACTTCGGCGCTCAGCTGCCCGCTGAAAACTACGCTCGCGCGCCTGGCCCATTGCGTCACTAGCGGTGAAAATTATGCATAGATAGACACGCTTCGTTATAATCGCACGTCAAAATAATCGACATGACGTTCCCGAGTTCTCGTCGCCGAGGCGTCGGCCGCCGCGGTCGCGATACTCCGGCAAGGTCGTCCGAGTGCGAGCCACGCGATAAGTAAATCAGGGAGAGCGATCGGCGATTACCACGAAAAATCAAGTATAAATTAAATTGCCGAGAGAGAGAGAGAGAGAGAGAGAGAAAGGGAGGGAGATAATTGCAATTTCACTGAAATTCATCGGTGTGCTGCATGAGGTTTTTTTTCCAAGAAGCAAACTTGTGTAACTTTCCGAGACTATCGCTTCGCGTTGACAGAGAAATGAAGCAAGAGCTGTCGGCTACTGAGAGAGAGAGAGAGAGAGAGAGAGAGAGAGAGAGAAAGAGAGAAAGAAAGAAAAATCGGAAGACGTGTATGAAAAATGATACTTGCATGAGAAGATAGTGCCACCAGATGAAGCACGTTGCACAATTTTTCTCGAACCTGCGAATCCACCGGCTTCGCGGTGGATCCGTAGAAAGCGATCTTTTCTTTGCGGCCCGAGTCCCAATCCTGCGGTTTCTCTCTCGTGTCTCCAACATTTCCTATCTCAACATTTCTCATAAGTGCACAAGCTAAGTTCCTCGGCTGCCCCGTTCAGCCACGATATACGGCTAAAGGACGTGACAAAGAGCCCGGCGATTTATCTCGCCTCTCACAGCGCGGCGGATTAAATCCGCTCGACGAGTCCCGATCGCGAAAACGGATTGGTCGAGGTGGCACCAGAAACCGGTGGAATTAAGGCGATTCGTTGTCGTTGTCGTCGTCGTCGTCGTCGTCGTCGTCGTCGTCGGTCCGGTCGGTGAAAGCCGGTTTAAATCGGTTAGAACGGTAATATACCGTTCGGGTGTCGACGACTGCAGGCGTTTCGTCCGGGACCTATATTGGCGTAAAGTCGTACTTCACCGAGAGAAGCTCCAGCCTCGTGATGGCCTTAAGGCGTTAGAAACAAAAGCGTGAATCCGCGAGGGTTCTCGCGAATCGTCTGCAGACCAACTCCCGATCTGCCACGTGTCCAACAGGAGAGCTGCCCGTCTCAGAGAGAACGACGCGAGGTTTTCGACGAAATGAAAGTGACTTTTGTCTCCGGGATCGTCCCGGATCCCCCGGAGGAAGAGACGCTAGGAGAGACGTGCCATCGGGAGGCTGCAGCGCGCGATTATTCAATCTCGCGTTCTACGAACGGCGCTCGTAGGACGCGCTCGTACACGCCTCGTAAACGTCTAATTACCTTGACATGTTTCCCCGTGAAAACGCAAGGCGCGGATGACGCGCCTGGATTTTCTTTTCGCGTACACGGCGAACTGTGTACAGTTACCGTCGATGTCTGACGACAGTGACGAAAACCGCGGTTATTCCAGCAGCCTCGGATTGCCCGGCCGTGAGATAAGCGCTAGGTCGTTGACTGTAACAAGTGAGGACACATCGCGTTTGAATTCAACGTCTCGTTTGTTCGTTTCGCGTTTCGCTGTACGTTCTGTCACTCTGCCTCGAATCTATACCGTATCTGAGACACGTTCTTTTCACGTAAACGTCGATGTTGACGATCGACGTTCTCGCAGTTGTGCTTCTGTGACACATTTGCAGTCGTAGAAATATCCAGCTGCGAGCTAGAGACGCAATACCGCCGGTTGCGGGAAGTAGCCGCTTTACTAGACTCCCTTTAATTATTCTCACCTTGTCGTTATGTATATCGCTCGCAATCAAGATTCGCCGGTGTCGTAATTACCGAGAAGGGTATCTCCGGTAATAAGTAGCCGCGTGTCGTGAGTTGTGCAAGTGTACAATGGTCGACAATGTGTGCACGGATAAACTTGTAAACATTCGCCGCAAGGACAGGAGATATCGCGTTCGATCATACCGCAGTCGTCACGTAACGTCCAGCTTCTATTGATATGTCAAAAATGCCTGGATGCAAACGGAAATTACCGTTGAATTTAACTGTAGCGGTGCAAAACGCAGTTCTATTTCTGAGAGAGAGAGAGAGAGAGAGAGAGAGAAAGGAAGAAAAAAGAGAGATATTGGAAAGGATTGATCAAACTATGATCAAAATTGACCGATG